AAAAAAAAAAAATGGTTGCTATACATGCATGACGCCATGATCTGTTCAACTGATGGTAACTTAAACTCACCAACACTTTTATCTTCAATGCCAACATCTCTGGATGACCAGCGACAGAAGCCACAGGCTAAGTAATACACTTTCTTAGCTTGCATGGCTTTGGCATCATCACCTCCCTTCTCAGCCTGTATGGCCACTGCTGTTGCTCGTGTTGAAAGTGTGTTACCACAGCTTGGGCAGTCAAAACAATTGGCACATCTGTAATTTACAGAAGGTAATAATAATAATCAAAGTGATAAGATTTCCACTTATGTCCAGAAATGCATGTAGCAATGAAAATGGCAGATTTGACAAATTTTTGTCAAATGGAGTGAATGTTCATGTAATGTTTGATGATTTTGGCGAATTTTAGTCAAATAAGCTTGGCAGATTTGACAATTTTGACGAATTTTCGCCATTTGCGTTACTGCATGCATTTCTGGACATACCGAGATTTCTGCACAACCCCATACTATTGTAAAACAAAGCCTAAGTCACAAATGGACTTTAATGTTTTCTTGTACATGATCTGTACGTAGAATGAGGCATGGGGCTGTGCGGAAATCTTAGCATTAAATTGTTTAATTATTCAGTATGGGAAAGTTGGCCACTACGCTGGTTTCAAAGTTCTTCATCTCGACTTCAAGGTGATCTGATTTGGTTGAGTTATCATTCCATTCGTTACTTGAAATACTTGCTTCTGATCACTAATCGAGAAGTACATCGTGATAAAATACTTGGTCCAATATTCCATGATGATCACAAAATTTGCGACATCCCTTCAATAATATCGTATTGTACCATAAGTTCTATCAACAGCTACGTATACATCAACAGAACGAACTTTTCATATTTAAAAAACGCTTCCCCCTTTAATTACCGTACAATTTACCTGTTCTTCTTAACTTTCGCTTCTGCTGAAGGCATATTTTCCAGACAGTTCGGACAATAATACGAATCCACCTAAAAAATGCAGAGGGTCAGCCACGTTTACTATTCAGCTGTTTTTTACGTGAGTTCTAATATATAATCCAGGATTGGGTTTTCGTTGGAAGTTACCTCATGAGAAACACACAGAGGACATCTCAGCTTAATACAGTGTCGGCAGAAGTACAAACGAGCCGCCGGAGATAAGGCAGAACATGAACAAGTCAACAAGACCCGTACGCCGTCACCTTCGA